AGAGATTGCATTCTATTCACTTGGTACTGAAACTAAACTATGATTGAGCTCATATTTCCAAGGAGGATGTAATACAAGGCTCATCGCTACAACTGCCGTCCCTGTTTTGGTTCAGTTTCATTTTGCATGTTGTTAAGGAACTTATGCCTAAGTTCCTATTGTTAAGAACACGTTCCACACCGATGAAAACTATGTACTTTCTTCGACTTTAACTCCAAAACACCATTATTGTAAGAAGGCAGTTATATCTTTTCGCAGTTAAAGTGGAGAACAGTACAAGTTTTTATTCGGTTTTGGTCATCCTCGTCGAACTTGTGCACGATCGAATCATTCGCGCCTTCGAGTTGCCCAACAATGGCTACCAGTTCCAAAAACAAACGTTCAATGTTCACCTTCATCGACATATGTATTGATAGAAAATTGTCTCTCATTGACTTTATTATTATTATTGCTCCCTTGGGTTCCTAGTGGAACATAGGGCTTCAACTGCACGTCTCCAATTGCTTCTGTCTTCTGCTGTACTTTTCGCCTGCATCCATGTTAGTCCATTTTCTTTCAACTCCTCTTCACACGATCTCCTCCATGTCACCCTTGCACTGACGTCCCACACGCCGCTTCCCTTTCGGGTTCCACTCGAGGGCTTGACGCGCGATGTCACCCAGCGGTCTCCTCAGCGAGTGTGCGATCCATCTCCACTTTCTCCTGCATATTTCTTGGGCGATTGGTTCTTGCTTTGTTTGTTCCCATAATTCCTTGTTGGTGATTCTTTCCGGCCATCTGATCTTCAGTATAGAGCGAAGACAGTTGTTAATAAAGGTCTGCAGCCTTTTGGAAATATTCTTTGTGACCCGCCCCCAAGTTTCTGATCCGTATAGAAGAACTGACTTTACGTTTGTATTGAAAATCCGAATTTTGTTGTTGATGCAGGCTGAGTGACGAAGATTTCCAGATTGATTTCAGGTTGATGAATGTGTTTCTCGCCTTCCCGATTCTCGATTTGACATCCTCGTCCACTCCTCCTGTAGTTGAGACAATGCTCCCTAGATAAGTGAGTGAATGAAGTAACCTCTTTCAACTCCCTCCCGTTGATGGTGACTGGCGCTGGATGTTGCTGTTGTTGTTGACTGGTTATTTTCATAACCTCCGTCTTGTCTATGCTCACCGGGAGTCCTGTCTTCACCGGCTGCTTCTTCGACCAGTTTGTCGGTTTTCGCTTGTAAGTCTTCGATTTTGTGACAGTGACATCAAACATAAATCATCCACGCACGAAATCCAGGTCTTCTAGGTTCTTCGCGTCGGTCCAGGATATTCCTGTCTTCTCGTTTCGCACTCACTGTCTGACGCATAATCCAGTCCACCACAATTAGGAATATCATTGGTGATAGATAATAAGCACCCTTGTCTGACTCCTGTGTTTACTCCAAACGCCTCGCTGAGTTTTCCGTTGTGGATCACTTGACATGTGCCGTTGTCGTACAGCTGTTGAATAAGGTTGATGAATATTTGGGGTACGCCATAGTACTCGAGTAATTTCCAAATTACTTCACGATCAACGCTGTCGAAGGCCTTCTCAAAGTCTATAAAGTTGAGGTAGAGGTTTGATTGCCATTCCATGCTTTGTTCTATGATGATGATGCGTAGAGTTGCAATTTGGTCAGTACATGATTTGCCTTTCCTGAATCCAGCTTGTTCTGGTCGGAGTTCTGTCTCCAGTGCGTCCTTTAATCTCTCCAGGATGATGCGACTCAGGATTTTACTTGGCGTCGATAGGAGCATGATTCCTCGCCAGTTCTTACAGAGTCCTAAGTCGCCCTTCTTTGGTAGTTTCACGAGGTAACCTTTCCTCCAGTCAGTAGGCACCTTTCCCTCCTTCCAGACCTTTTGCAATAATGGAGTCAGCATGTCTGCTATCGTCTCTGGGTCTGCCTTCAGTGCTTCAGGGGGTATTCCATCTGGTCCGGCTGTTTTTACAGCTTTCAGAAGTTTGGTTGCGTTCAAGACTTCAGCTCTCGTTGGAGGATTGGTGTCAACTTGCAGTTGTGTGCGCACTGTTGTTGGTATTTCTGGACGGGTTGCAGGTGATGGTCGGTTCAAGAGTCTTTTGAAGTGATCCGCCCATTATTGAATTGAATTTTTGATTTTCCCGTCGATTGATTGGACCGAAGTGCTCGGTCTCAGGTTGACATGTCGGCTTCTTGTGCAGATGCTTCGACGATGTCTGGGTATTTAATTAGTATACAATTGCTAGCCACCATCCACCAATTGATCCGCCCATTGTTTAATCTGTTTTTCTTCCTTGGTAATGGGCTTCCCTTGGCTGTCTTTTATAGGTTTCGCTTGTGTTGGTCTCTTCCCGGATAGAGATTTGGTTATCTGATATAGTGTCCTCAGGTCCCTTTTGCCTGCTGCCTTTTCAGCTTCAGTAGCTAGATTGTCGTAGAATCGTCTTTTGTCCTTCCTAGCACTTTTCTTAACTTCTTTGTCCAATGCTTTGTAAGTTGAGCTCATCGTCTCCTTCTCCTGTCCGTCCTTGCATTGAATCATTTTCTCTTTCACCATTCTCCTCTCTTCTATTAATTTCCAAGTGTCCGTTGAGAGCCATTCCTTGTCTTGTCTCTTCTTTCTTCCTAGAACCGTTGAACACGTTTCGTTGAGAATCGCCTTCAGAGACTTCCAATGTTCTTTCACGCATGATTCTTCAGTGATGTCGCGTAGTGTTTCCTGCTTTTCTCTGAAAGTTGCATATATATATATATATATATATATATATATATATATAACTGACCCACTTTTTTACGGTGTCAGTTCAGTGACCTATGTAAATTGTCCTTAGTATGTGAATATAATTCGGCTACAGTTTACTAGGTCACGACAGCATACATGCACTGAAATATATACCATTATTCATTTACTTGAAATCATAGTGTTGTATTCGCAAAGCATTGATAAAACCACTACTAAACAACGTATTCCGGAATGCCTATGAGCAGTTAAGATGTCGCCTCGTCAGCTTAAACCAAAGCAAATAATAGAGTTCAACAGAAGGTTGAACAGTTTGCTATTCAATGAACCGCAAACAACTTTACGAATACGACGTGACCCCGCTAATCGCTTATTTTTGGGAAATGTTAATATAACCTTACTGTTTCCGTGTGTTTTCATAATATAAACATGTATGTCTAAACTGTGGTTACACTTCCTTTCCCTTTAAATGCCCAAGAGTGACAGATTAAAGTAAACTCTGGTTGATTGTTTTGTGGTGAAAGCACTTCAGAAGTCAGTTAGAAATTACACCCATCTGTGCCCTATTTACCATGTTTCATCAGCCAGAGATTGCTTGTTCATTTCATATCCTGAGTAGCGGTGACTTATACGATCGATCTCTTAAAAGAAGCAAACTGTTAAGGCCCGAACTTACAGCGATTCAGCTACATTTCACCGATACGTTGGTTGAAATTTCGCTTGGTAAATGGTTTTGTCAATACAGTTTGATAAAATTGTGTTATTTGTTTTCTGGATTGATAGGAATTATCATTTCCTGACTACTTTTGTTGGTGTCCGCGTCATGTGTGATCTGACTGCGACACACTCCTATCATATTGATTACAATGATTAGGGTTTCAGATGGACTGTGTCAAAATATCTCTATAATGAGGAAGATGAGATAGTTGGAGGGTAATGTCACCTACACAAACAGTTTACTTTATGTAGAAGCTGCAGCTTTCGGCATAGTATCATTCAATGTAGACTTCACGTCTCAGGATATCAACGCAGCCTATTTTCGTTTGAAAAACAGTACCATTTGACAAAAGAATACTATCAGTACATGGAAATCACCTATAAATGCTAACAGAACCTTCTGTGCGAACCTAAGTTATCATGTGTGTGTGTGTGCCTTTCACGTTATCTGTGTTTGGACAGGAGTTATCGTAAGTTGAGAGGTTATTTCTAAGTGGATTTAATCTGTATTTGCACAGATTGGTGCAGTGAAATATGGGTTATGTGGATTCAATGTATAAAAATATCTCAACTTTATTAATATTGTGTCATTGTGTGCTTAGCTGACTGCTTAGCTAACAAATGTAGGTGGTTTTCATGATTGCCACTAGTGCAGTGCAATGGAGAAGATAATTATCTGTTTAGATTTCCTCACTGTTCCACCGAGTGAATTAATTCAGTGTATAGTATTATCATACACATGTTTAGGGGCGCATCCTTCTTGGTTCCATATTGTACCAAGATTTTATGCGTTTAAATAAATAAATACACATTTCATGCAAATATGTTTGTTTATTATACTGTGATGCCTGTTTCATGACTCATGATTGGACTAAGTTTTTAAAGGCAAGAGATGTCCATTTTATATATAAACATCTGTTATTTTAATTTCGATTGAATTCCCTGCCGAAGTTTGGACCGGTTTGCCGAACAAAACGTTGGAATCACTCATTTCAATTTTCCTGAGATCTTACAAATGAAATTTTTACATGTGTACTTCTCACTCGGTGCCCAATTATTTTGGAACTACTTGGTCAAATCGTGATCACAGTTCATATGAATAACATTTTGTTTCCCTATCTTAACGTAGTGATTAACTTACACACCGCTGGTGCACACATACACACGCATATTACCTTCCACCTCGTTTTTCTCCCGATTTCGAGATTATTATTCATCCATATGAAGTTTATAATCAATATGAATAGAATTTAATATGAATATGACTCATGGAAATTCAAATGCCATTGTACTGTAATCTGTTCATATTATTGATTTATCTGATGTTAATTAAACAGCATTAATGTTGTTAATTATCCCTAATTCTTTCAGTATTATGCATGCACATATAACTGCAGGAGAGGAGGTGGCACAGTGGTTAGGACTCTCGCCGACCATGCACATTATCCGATGTTCGATCCCCTGCCGACGCACACCTGATATCTGTGGTCGGCCTGCAAAATTTGGGCTACCGATATCACATACTGAAAATTCCATACTTTTACCAAAAATACGGTGTGGAATCAAGCTGTAATCAAAAATAAAAAAAAATAAAATAAAAGAATATTCTTTGTTCAGTAATCAATCTTTTAGAATTTCTAAGTCAGAATCTTTAGGACGTAGGTATTGCAGTGACGATTAAAGCCTGGGATGACATCTAGATTGCGATTGGATACCGGTTTAACAGTTGAAATGAAATTAAGGTGTGATCAGCAGTTGGCTTTATTCCTTGAGTAGTGATACAACCATCACTTTATCGTATGAGAGTGCTATTAGTAGTAAAGGCTTTTTTTGTACCTTAAAAATAAATCTAAGTATTTTATTTAATTTTTAGGGTTGGTTAACTGTCGGTAATGAACTATCTGCATCAAATTATGATCCTCGTATGTATGCAAATAATTTTAGTAAAGAACCAAATGGTTTATTCCTTGGATCAACTGAAGAAATTGAACGATTACGTCCAAAATCTCCACCACCACGTCATCCAAATCCTAACACGGCTCCTAGCGGTAGTGGTACACCTAGTACTATTTGTCCGATTTCAGAGGTTACGCCTACACCAATTTGTCCTAACCCTGTTTTACCACCTGCTGGACACATGTCACGTTCAATATCGTCTATATGTTCACTTGGTAATTCTGTTGTATCAAATATTAGTTCACTTTCTGGAGTACCATGTAAGTTTATTTCAGCGTGTATTGAGTAGTTTTCTTTATGTGCAATTGAAGCATGCAACCATTATCATTAGTTAGCACATTCATATTTTGTTTTGAACAGTTCGATTAGTCTGATCTTTCTCTTATTTATTCAAAGATGCTTCCTAAACAATTTCGAAAGAATGAGTTTAGTGAACAAAGAATATTCTTTTCGATAACATCAACATCAGGTTGTACAGTTTTATGTTCATAATAATTCAAGAATTATTCAAGTACTGGTTTGTAAGGATTTGATAGATTGGTTATAGGATTTCATCATGAACCGACATCGGTTTGAGGACCATTAGATAACCTGGCATTTTCGGACGGCTGTCTCGCCTTAGTTTTGGACTTTTCAGTAGTACGCACCCACTGAGGTTCTAACCCAGGACCTTCTGGTTACAAGGCGAGCGAGCTCCTAAACCATTAAGTCAGTCAGTGGTCCCCGACCCAGTGGCCAACCCATGAATTCCAACCTCTACCGCAACATAACGTGATCCCTAGCGAATGTCATCGGTGGCGAGTATTTGTCCTCGCACCCGACCTGTTGTACTCTACTTGTCGTGACTTCCAAGAAGCTGGAATTCGTAGACCATTGGATAGGATCCCAGTAGCTTAATGGTCTAAAAGCTAGCTCACCTTGTAACCAGAAGGTCCTGAGTTCGAACCTTGGTGGGTGCGTACTGCTGATGGTTCCCAAACCAGGACGCGGAACAGCTGTCCAGTACTCTCTGCAGATTTTCCAATGGTCCTCAAACCGATGTCTGCTCTTGATGAAGTCCTGCAACCAATCAGATCCCTGCAAACCAACAGTTGAAAATCAAATTTAGATAAATAAATCATCCATCTTAGTTTCAGGAGAAATTCCTCATAAACTCTTGAAAATAGTTTACTGAATTCGCTTATTTCATGAAAGATTGTTACGTACAGTCAGTATTATAGACTGAAGAGGAATTTGAAGCCGAAAAGTTACAAAACTTCTGGAAGTTCCTCAGTTCTAGTTGTGGATATTAATTACAGTTTGTATTGTGTAGTTCGTGTAGAATTGTCGAGAGAGAATAGTAGGAATTTGTAAATCGTTTAAGTAGCATGATTTAGCAAGAGAGTAACCCTCATGCTGTGTTTCGTTGGAAAAATTATCCCTACGCTTTATAGTTGTGTCTCACTATTTTTATAGAAATACTGAGTCTTTAACACAGAACTTTAAATACCTAACGGAAATATAGGTAGGTGGTCGACAGAAGTTTCGATCTCTACAGTTGATTTTACGTTTTAGTCCCACTTGGTAGTATAAAACCTGTTTTTTTACTTATTGTTTTAGGTGTATGCTTTTACGCATCATTATCATTACGTTTCTTTTCCGTAATTTATGAAGCTGCATTGACTGAAATTCCTAGGGTTATGGATAATACATGTTGAGCCATCGCCTTCCTTGTCGATCAATGTTGCCTTATATACGATTAGTTGAGAAAAAGGGACGTAGAAGAGAAGTTCGATTAATGAAGTCTTTCAATATTGGTTTTAACCACATAGAGAAGTATAACCTACTTGTCTAGGTGGGGTCATCGAGATGCGAGAAACCAATGGCCAAAGACTATTGATGACATGGTTTGAAATCGTACTTAATGACGTAAATTTATTCACTCTTTATCATCTCCGCAAATCTGTTGAATCCTCATCAACTATCCTTTATGTGTACTTTTATAAAGTACTATACTTTCGTGCAAAATTAATTGTACGTTAAAATTCACGTGACTGTCGATTTGATGCCTTTTCCTCACTAAATTCGCATTTTGCCCTTTCTCATTATGTTTAATAATAATATTCATGAACAATGCTTGCATCAATTATCAAATTCTGCTTAACTCAACAATGATTATCCCCCAATTCGCATGAAATTATTGATAATCTGACGGCAAAGCCTATAAATCCATTGCAATAGTTCAACCTGGAATATTTCCCTTTTTTATTTCCGTCTAAAAGTAAACTTGTTTATCAATAAATAAATTTTTGCAGTGATCTACTTGTTTTATAGTAATCAGCTTTTTTTCAAAACGGAGTTCCTACTATCTTTAACGCTCTTATAAAATACCTCTGTACTGCTCTCTTATGTAAACATCATACTGCGAATATACCGTGTATAAATCTATTGATAATGACCATCACGACTGTGTGTTCCCCGTAAACTAATTAGAAGTTATTTATCAATATTATTATTATTCCCCTGAGTTCTGAGTGGAACTTGGGGCTTCAACAACACTTCTCCACTTTGTCCTATCTTCTGTCATCCTCTTCAGCTTGAGCCACGATTGCCATCAATCTCTCATCTCCTCCTCACACGATCGCTTCCATGTCACCCTAGGACGACCCATTCGTCACCTCCCATTGGGATTTCACTCTAGGAATGGCCTGGCGTGCGATGTCATTCGACAGCCTCCTCAATATATGAGCAATCCATCTCCATTTTCTCCCACATATTTGTTGAGCAATCGGCTCTTGCTTTGTTGGTTCGTTCATCGCCAGAGTTTCTTGTTACTAATTCTTTCCGGCCTGCCATTTGATCTTGAGTATGGAGCGAAGGCAGCTGTTTATGAAAGTCTGCAACCTGTGGGAAATCCTTTTCGTGACACGCAGTGAAAGTTTCTGACCCGTATAGAAGGACCAACTTGACATTGGTGTTGAAAAGAATCCGAATCTTGTTCCTTGTGCCGAGTGCAGATTTCCAAATTGGTTGACGAAGGCGTATCTTGCCTTTCCAATTCTGACTTTGACATCTCCATCCGTCCCGCCTTTCGGTGCAATGATGCTTCCGAGCTAAGCGAAAGAGGTAACCTCTGTTAAATCTCTCCCGTTGATGGTGATCGATGCTGGTTATTGTTGTTGCTGTTGGTTGGTTATCTTCACCACCTCCGTCTTCTCTATGTTGACCTGGAGTCAGTCCTTTCTCCTCTGCGCACCGCTTCTCCAGCCACTTTGTTGGTTTTCGCCTGCAAGTCGAGTTTGTGTGCGAATAGACAAATGTCATCTGCGAAGTCCAGATCTTCTAGAGTCTTGTCATTGGTGGTCCAGCGTACTCCTGTCTTCTCACACCCTGTGTTCAGTCTGACACAAATGCAGTCAGTCCAACACATTTAAGAATATCATCGGTGACAGGAGACAGCCAGCTTTGTCTTAGTCCTGTGTGCACTTCCAACGCCTCACTGAGTTTCTGGTTGTGGATCACGTGACATATGGCACTGTCATATAGCGAACTGTTGAATAAGGTTGATAAAGACTTGGGTACGCCGTAGTGTTGAAGTAGTTTCCAAATTACTTCTTGGCCAACGCTTTCTAATAAAGGCCTTTTCGAAGTTAATTAAGTTGCGGTAGAAGCAGGTTTTATTGTCATTCTATGCTTTGTTCTTTGATGACGATGCGTAGAGTCGCAATTTGATCAGCGCATGATTTCCCTTTCCTGATTCTAGCTTGTTCCCGAGGGTGGTGAAGTCCTGTATCCTGTATCAATAATAGTCGTGTTTTTTTTGGTGTAAATACTCCAAGAAATCTTTTAAAAGAACTTACTGGACAATAATTCTGTTTGTTTAAAAATCTAGACGTCCACTGTATCATGTATCATTTTAGAATTTACTGTGCACTGACATCAGTTAGAAGAAGTACTCCATTCAAAATCAAAAGTACTGGACGACTGTTTCGTCCTAGTTTGAGACTCCTCAGAAATGCACACCCATGACCACGCTAGTAATTGATCTTAGAATATTTTGGTTCAGAGGTCAGCCAGCTGTAAACATTAAGCTATTTCATGTGGAACGCAACCGTACTCATAAAAATAAACTCCTGAAAATTAATCTATTGTCTACTACGGGTTGGAGACCTAGTGAACAGTCATGACCGGTGGTGGATATTTTGAAAAGAGATACTCGCCAATGACACCAGGGAATTGCTGAAAGTTAGAAATCCAATCGTGTGACTGAATGTTCGACGAGCTCTCATCGCAAGTTGTAGTTCATGGGTTATATCACCAATTTGACCAACGGTGGGTACTGCTAAAAAGTGTCAAACTAAGATGAAATAGCCGTCTAATCGTTCCACGTTTTTAATGATACTATAGCTGATGATGTTAATTCGTCATCTGACTTAGAATCAATGAAATCAGTGAAAACCAACACTTGAAAATTATTCTTTTCTTCAACAGTTTTGATCGTTTTGTCGTTTAGTTAAGTACATTCTACTATGAAATTCACATGCGAAGAGGAATTCCAAAAATAAAAAATTGCCTTCCTAGATGTCCTCCTCACAAGAAAACCATATGGTAACATGAAAAGAAATTTACATAGAAAAAGTACATGGACAGGACAATATACACATTTTCATAGCTTCTTTCCTCTGTAGTAGAAAAGAAATTTAGTAAAGACCCTCAGCCATAGAGTTAGAGCTATATGCTCAGAAGAAGTAATTGAAGATGAATTAAGCATTGCATATGATACCTTGGTTGAAAATAGTCATCCAGGCAAATTCATGAGGAAACATATTGATAAGAAAGTTGAAAAGAACTATTCACTATCCGTAAACAAGAAGCCTCTTTGTATACAACTACAATTCAGGGGCGATATACCTAGCGAAGTAATGACGGGGAAGTTAAGAAAATCAGTTTAAAGGACTCTTAACGTTGACAAATTAAAACTCTTATTTTCTACGCAACTGGTGGTGATTCCTCAATTGAAAGATGAAGTACCTAGACTAGCCACTTAGAAATGTATCTACCAATTCAACTGCGCTTGTGGAGCGAGTTATATCGGCCGTTGCGTCAAGAACTTGATTTTTCGTGCTCAAGAACATCTTCCAGTATGGCTAAGTAAAGGTGAAGTGAAAGCCATTAACAGTTCGATATTAGACTATCTGGCTTAAACCGGCCACATAGCCAGCGTGGAAGAATTCTTCTCTATCATCTACCTGGTACGAAATAAATTGCCAAAAATATCCAGGTCCCTTATTTTCCAAACAGCAGAGACTATCGCGATTCGCCTTAAACAACTGATGCTCTGTGTTCAGGAGAAACAAGTCCAGCTAGCCACTGCTACTGCCCTGACCGGCTTTCAGTAGAGAATATAAATTCATGAATTCTGTATAATTATTTTTAATAATTTTTCTGATATTTATTCAGTGTATTGTTATGTTGATGCTATCGAACTGTAGTCCATTGATATTATTAATGATTCGATGTTATTTAAACAACATTAATGTTGTTAATAACACTAATTCATTCACTATTATGGATGCATATAACTGTAAAAGCTGATAAAGGGCAGGTTATCGAAAAGAATATTCTTTGTTCAGTGACCATTCTTTTGTAGAAAGTTTTGAAACTAAGAATTCTTGCTTATGTATGCTTGCTTTCTTCTTTCTGGCCTTTTTGTTCTATAGGTGGTAGTCATTCAACACGAAGATTTGTTCCTACTAATAATGTTATTAAACAACCAGTCAACTCTACCGGCCCATTGACCAACTCTTCACTTTTAGGCCTACCAACCGCTTTGCAGAATGCATCATCTAATAGATCTGCTTCGAGTGGGTGAACTTGTTGGTTGATATGTTGTTGTGGCTTTTTTTTCCCGTCTGTTTTATCTTCCAACTCTTGTAGAACAGTACTGTTTATTATCACTGATGTTTTTCGTGTTTTATGAATCACCCAGTCATATTTCCTGCTTTTTGATGACCAAATAATGAAGTATGGTGTTCATTTTAAACTCTATGTATGCTGTATATTACTTTTATGCTAGCTCACACGATGTTTATTTGTCGTAGGTTTCAGTGAATTTCTTTACAGGGGAACCTTCCAAGACAGCCTAAGGAAATAGATGATAAATAGTTAGTTGGGTTATGTGCGTCAGTGGCACAGCGGTGAAATGCTTGCCAACCATGCATATGGTTCTGGGCTCTATCCACGGCCACCGACGCACTCTTTACCTTGCTAAGCCAGTAATAAGACTGGTCTTTACCAGTCTTCCCTCTTTAAGGAAGGTTGGGCATGAGGCTAGCAATCCCATCCCGTAAAAATAAACACGACTGCTACCGAAACTTCAAGTGTCTAGCTTGAAGCCCTACGTTCCAGTAGGAACGTAAAGGAATAATAATAATAAAAGTTAGTAGGGTGAAATTAATGCCATACATTCAGTCCTTGGTCAAGTTTTCCATTTGGTTACCAGACTAGATGAATCTCCATAGCGGTGCACTCTATATTTGTGTTAGATGGTTGGTACCAATCGACAGGAGGCCCTGGCTAGCCTAGGTTTTGAGCTTTTTATCATTCATCTGCAATCTCGGAGGAACTCTTGTCCCCTCTGAGAGTCGTCCATACTACACCCTTAATATGATACTCGCATTCTCATTTCTTCAAAAATAGGTACACGAATTAATTTACGCACACCCTTAAATGCGGTCGCTGCCTCCAGCTCTTCGCATAGACTAACTGCATTACAGATGGCTGCAGCTGCTCATCATCAAGGCAATATTCATCCACCTAATCCACCGATATGGTCAACTCCAAATAATTTTGCAGTAGCATTGGCTGCTATGGCAGCAGCAGCTGCAACCTCTCATAACTTACCTGTTCCCTCTGCACTGAACTCTTCGAATTCAAGGAGTGCTATATCTGATTCACCTTTACTTGCTGGACTTGTCAGTGCTGGTAAACTGAATCCAACTATACTTGCAATGTTGAATACTTCAAATCCTGTCAATCCTTCAAGTCTATCATTATTGAACAGTATTCTCCGAAATACTACTACTTCTGGGAAACATCCTAACAATAGTTCATGGCATTGAATTGATGCATTATAACTTATTTCTTTATGTTTTGGTGACTTACTGTTCATAATATGATATGTAGTTATCGATTGTCGTTGATACAAATGTATTTTCTTTTATATATTGATTCAGAAAAAAAGTTGTTACATTTCTAATGTCTTAACTTCTTCTTTAACCACCTTGTGTTTGACACATGAAGTTACTGCTCAACTATCTGTCTGTCTGTTTTCAACATAGAACTTTGCACCGATGGGCAGCAGTTCAAGTCGCCACACTCCATGTAGCACACAAAGCAAGAGAAGAAAGTAGAAGAAATGCATACTAGAGACAGTAGCAGGGATATCAAACGAAAGGAATAATAATATCAAAGAAAAATACAGTTTCATTGGAAATTATAAGTCACAGGGAGTGGATTCATCTGCGTCATTGAAAACGATTTCGAGCCATATCACCGATTGTCTCCAGCCATTGGATTTTACCGTCCCGAGGACCCCAACCAGGAAGTCTACACCTTCCTACGTGACTTAAACTAACTGTTGTGGATTTCGTTGACTGGTGCTATGTCTTGGTTTGAACGCCGCCAGCTCTTCTCCAACCTGACCTTATGCCAGGTAACATTGCTCGTCGAGTAAGGCGATCGATGACTAGGCTAGGCATGTATACTATATGTCCTAACCATCTCTCTCAATCGATGTAACTTCACAACCCCGTCGATTGATTTCCCCTCCAACTCACCTAGCACTCGACCAACGCCTCACCTCAATATTGCTCACCCTATTATACCACCTAACATAGGAGACACAACGCAGACTACTATGATCGAAGACAGCTAGCTTTTCATGTCTTCCACTTTCAACGGGGGGACTTGTCTCACGCACAGGCATAAAGGAGGACAGAGCGAACTGCTAAGCAGTACACACGCCCTTTGGTAGACAGTCAGCCGGATATCACGTCTACGCCAGAGACGGCGTAAACTGACATGCGAAACGAGCCTTTTGTATCCGTGCTGAGATTTCGTCAGCCATCAACCCGCTAGTGGTGGCTGACGCAACTTCCCAAATAAGTGAAGCGGTGAACACGCTCTGCCACTTCATCATTCCCTATTTCTAAGCTAGGAGTCAGTGTAGTCCAGCCCTGTAACATTATCTTACATTTGACAAAGGAAGAGAATCGCATGTCAAATATTCGTAGATTGCAGCTCATGGTGTCCAGAAGACTCTACATTTTGTCAGCGTCCCCGCCTAGAAGGACTATGTCATCTGCGTACTCTGAGTCAACGAGATTATTCCCTGGTAGGAAGTCAATCGCTGAGTCTCTGAAGTGAGTTAGGATTAAGTCCATTAGTACATCTATGATGAAAATGAATAGAAATGGGGATAATGGGCATCCCTGACAGACACCACTAGTTGTCATCACTTCAGGTGACAACTCGCAGTAAGCCCTCACCTGGTTGCATGAGTTCGAGTAGAGTGCCTTGATCAGTGCAATGTATTTCCTCGACATTCCCTTTACAGCCAAGCATCGCCAGAGTACCTCTCGGTCGACAGAAGCGAATACAGCCCTTAGGTCAAGAAATATAACGATTGTTGGACGCCGGTAGGAATGCCCATTTTCCAGAATCTGTCGAAGGGTGAAGATATGGTCAATACACCTTCTTCTTGGTCTGGAGCCTGTGTGGTTCTCTCGAGTTTCTGCCTCCCGATCACCACTTAGTCTACTCAGGATTATTGAGCCTAGGACTTTAGATACTATATTAGTCAAGCTAATCCCTCTGTGATTATTACAGGAAGACTTGTCTCCCTTCTTGTATAAGGGGATAATCATTGACTTACACCAACCCGACGGGACTTCTTCTGATTCCCAGACGCCGTCTAGTACCTTAGTTAAAGCAGGCAGTAAACTGTCTCCACCGTACTCAAATACCTCTGGAGTCATTCCGTCGGGTCCTGCTGCTCTGCCTTGTTTCAGAATAGTGACAGTCCCAGTAACCTCAGTTAGGGACGGAGGACCTGTGTCTATATCCCATTCAGGAAGGTGTTGGATGTTCGGCAGGTTGAGCGTGGTTGTAGGCCAATTAAACTGCTCCTCATAGTGCTCTTTCCAGTCGTCTATCCTCGGAGCTAATTATGGTGCCATTCTTCTCAGAGATTGTTTCACTTATCATTTGCCTTTTACCACCTGTTTCGCTGATAACTCTAAATAGTTGTCTGGTGTTACCGATCGCCGATGCCTTTTCCATCTCTTTCGCTTTTGTCGCCCGCCACTGTTCACGGTCGTTACGAAGTCTTCTTGTTAGTTTTCGTTTGAGTAGCTTTCACTCCTCATCATAATCGGAGCTCGACAGAATCTGTCTTCTTGCGTCAATCATTTCGGATGAGGTGGTAGAGATTCAGTTGCTCCTACTAATACATATGTTTACGAAAATTAGAAGAACAATTAATAATTCAAGTGATAAATGCAGTGAGAAAATAAGAATCGATAATGGTGATAGAAAATTTGTGGAGTGATGTGTTTGTAGAACAGCTTGATCGTGTACCTGCTGTTAGTATTGCTAAGTGGCACAGTAAAGAATAGGCTTTTTGTTTTAAAGTCTGTGTCAGGTGTTTGGTTGGTGGAAGCTGTGGTTTGAGGTGTTGACCTCTCATACATGCATTAGGCGATTTCAGCGAGTTTATCTATATTAATGTCGTCATCTCCAAGGATTTATTGAATGCTAGCAGATAGTTGTCGTAGCCTGATTTGATAGAGCAGTCGTCTATCGATTTCTTCACCTGCCACGATGCTTTGCATTTATCTCATGAGTTGGGACGGTGTTTTATCACGTAACTCAACGTTACTTAGCAAGTAGTCTAGTTTTCGCATATCAGATAGTGATGTACATCGTAGTACCTCATATTTCAATTTATCGTAGGGGGATTCAGTGTTGTGATGAATGATGTATTCGCGTACTAGCTTGGAGATTTCGTCCGGTAGTACAGTACCCAAAAGGCTGAATTTAGAGTTCTGCAAAGAGAGCTTATTTGCAGGGAAGTAATATCTTAGTCGAGCAATCCAAAGACGGGGGCTTGTGTGTTTAAAAGCTGGTACGGTAAGAGTAATAGTAGTAACGGATCCCGAGTCAACGGAGTGCCAAGTGTTATAAATGCTTGACCGCGAACTACCAGCCTTAAAATCTGCCTTAATCAATGGAGGTCAGCATCCAAATCTGAGTGAGGGATGTTTTAGACTAATAAATATAGACTAGTAATTATCGATTTGGAGCGTCTTCGTAAATAATAGGAACTTAGGGTTAAGTACCTTGACAACTGTTATTTTGTCTAGCTGGATCAATGAGGTCCTTGAATCTACATGTCTTGTATCAAAATGAGTTTGATGGTTCAAATAACACCCTGACTCCTGCTTTATTAAGAATCCTACTTCTACAGTGAGTTCAGGCAGAGAAATCCACTGGTGGAAACGATATTTGGGCATGAGAATGTTCTTCAAATTAAAATTTCTTCCACAGCACGACTGTACTTTCAGTTAACATACTTCTAAGAATTCCATAGTAACAATCATTGGCTTTGATTCAAATATCTGGCTATGTTTAACTGCTTGTGTACTTCACCACTGGAGTCCCATCATGGCGAACTGACCGACTCAGAGAATGCAACTGCACATTTCATATGCTGACAGAGCGACGAAAAGTGGCGTTAGTGCCAGTTTTTATATGTATGCGTTGTAACAAAAGTTCAAACATTCAAGGTCTACTACAGCTGGAACGTTGGAAGGGAGATTTCGAGCAGCAGTGTAGCTGGCTCATAGCGATGTTGAATTGGCGCTGCATTCAACACCTACCTGATGTCGGTATCGATCCTTCAAATGTAACTGGGGTGGCGAGGGCTATCTCTAGTTTGAAACCGAGCAAAGCAGCAGGACCCGATTATATGGCTCAAGTTTCATTTGAAGATGGTGTTGACAAACGGTTACTGGCGTTTACAAGGAAATAGGGTAATCTGTGGAGATCAGAAATAGTCCGTTGAAAATGAGTAGATCATTGCTTATCGATGAAAATACTAAGGGACTAAAGGTTTCTAGCCATAATCATAGAAGGATAAGCTGGAATGAAGTTCCAGATCCTTTAATCATGTGTATGCTAAGTGACAAATACCCACCTCATGTTACCTCCAACTGTGTCTACCAATTTACATGTACGTGCCAAAGCACATACATTGGAAGAACAGAGAGAAGGGTTAGTGTCCGCATTTATGAACACATACCAAAGAACCTGAGACTGAAAGGTCCGCAAGCATTAAACAGTGCGATTACTCGTCATCTATTGGACACTGGTCATATTGTAGACAACCTGAAGTCGTTCAACAAGCAAAAGAAACCTAGCTTGCTACGCTTTGCTGAAGCAATAGCCATCAAACGACTTAAACCAAATCTATGTACGCAGAAAGAGACAGTGGTGAATATTGCACTGCCCTGGTGACAACATATATATATATATATACAACTTTCATGAGTCACCTTTTTCATGTTTAGAAAACTCTACTCTCTCATCTAAACATGACTCTCCCTACCTTGTTTCTTTTCTTTTTTTCTATTGGCTATTAGATAAGACGTTTCCTTTAGTTGCGTAATCTACTTTTTTGTTATGCTCTTTCTAGCTAAACCCTGTTTCTATACACACACATATATGCGCAACCCTGTTTTTGTTTCCAAGCCTAATTGTCTAATTATTCTATAAATAGTCAGTGTTTGTAACTCCTAATCAGTTTAATCATTCCGGACTGATGTTACTTTTAATTCCTACCAATTACTCCTTATGATCGGGAAAAGTATGTTCATATCTTAAATGTAATTCATATTTTTAACGTTCAGGTTGTAACCAGTTGAGAAGAATCCTCGAAATAATAAAAGATGAGCTCATATTATCCTGGTACATTTGTTGTTCTTGCTTTGTTCAAGTTTATTGATGGGAAGAATTGCATGAAGTTTTTAAATGAAGTTAGCTGGACTTATCCGGAATGTTGGTTGAAATTTCACTTGATAAATTTTTTTGTGAATAATTTTTTATAAAATTGTGTTATATGTCATCTGGATTGACGGGAACTCTCATTTTATGACGTGTCATATGGTGTCCGCGTCATAAGATCTGATTGCAGCACA